TTCCTGAAATGCGCCTTCCAAGTTCCTGAAATGCGCCTCGGTGCTGCTGGATCATGGTTCCTGAATTTCCGTCATGGTTCCTGAAACGGACTGCATCCCCCGCTTCATGAGATCGTACCATACTCTTGACGTGTTTCGATGGAAACGGAATGGCTGGCCCAGCACACACTTCAGGGTACAAAACCTGCATTGATGAAAGCATTGGATGGGGCTCGTGCAAACTCCACTAGAAACGCTCTGGCTCGCTTGCTGAAGTCAAGCAACCACTGCTGGGGAGCGTGGACGATGAAGCTCGGCGGTGCAGGCTTGGAGCCTCTGCAGGCCGGACTTCGAAGTGTGAAACGGACATCTGCCGTGCCTGTCCCTTCAGAAGAAGGTGATGACCACCATGCCTGCAGACATGTGACGGTCTTTTGACAAGCTGTAGACGTTCAAGCATGGGACACTCAAAGATTGCTGACTCGACCGCTGCCTGCGGATACTGCCTGTCAATACACATATTGTTGAAGAGAGCTGCAACCTCAGTTATCCAGCCGAAGGCTATCGAGAAACACATACGCACAAAAACATCTCCGCCTGTTTTGAAAGAATGTGCAAAGTCAGAAGACCAAGGTCCCTTGGCGTCATCAATGCACAAGAACTGAATAATGCCTGTCTGAAGAAACGAGAGCCCCGCAGAAACAACCCAAAATGGGACGGAGACTTGCTTTCAAATGACAAGCCAGGAGGGACCTTGAATCTGGAAAGCTCCAGGTTGACTCTCACTGGGGAACCAAGAAGTTACAGCACTTGGAAACACATGGAGCTCTGGCAGCATTGGCGGCAAGCCAAAAAGTGTAATATGCATACCTCTCTTAAGACAAACACATGCACAACTGTCAAGGCCACCTTCAAAATTGAGCTGTCCCCTTCAGGCACAGTTTGGCCAAAAGCTGCAAAAGATCTTTCATCATAGAAGTGTTACCAAATACACTAGAGTCACTAGAGATGCAGCATAGCTCACCCAACCAGCCCAGGCCGGACAAGTGAGCTGGCCCAACTGCTCCCGACAGCAGACATGCTGTGCTGCTGTAACATGCGGATGAATCTATAAACACAAACTGAAGCTACAAATTGAAGCTACTGGTTGCTTCGAGACGTGGAAATCCATATCATAAAGCAACGCTACACAGAGACTTCGGCGTGTTTGCCGATCACAGTTTGCTTGGACACTGCTTGACACTCAAGCTGCGATTGTACCCTCAAGACATCGACCACTCCTGAACAGATCCAAGCAAGATCTGAATCTGACTGCAACTGGTGCAGTGGAACTTCGAGGTAAACAGTTTAGCTCGTGCAAAGCGAAACCACTCCGCAACGCAGAGCTGCAATTGTCCACCTCATGATTTCATGCTCGATCATACTGGCTCTGAGCTGAATGCAAGAACGTTTGAATTCACCTCTCAGTTGCTCTCCACATTCTCCTGAGCAAGAACAGCAAAGAAATTGTGGCTCCGTCACCACATGAAACATTGCTCAACTGCAATCCACTTGACTTGTGCCGGTCAAGTTTCTCACGTCTGTGCTTGACAAGGGCCAAGTGCAGCTATGGCTGCAATTACGTCGGCATCCTCAACATGCCCATGGCCAAGCACTCAACTAATCAAGGATCTACATTGCTTTGCAATACGGACTCCAGTCGAAACAGCAGACCTGTCATATCTCAAATCTCTCAACTTGCACCCATCTTCCTCTGGCTGCCGCTGATGCGGCTGATATGCAACAAGAAGTTGGAAGCACGTGAGACCATGTACACGCACAAACAAAAAGCTTGATTCTCGTGCCAACCCCAACAGATCCATGACGTGGCTCCTTACATTGTGCCGGCACGAAGTCCAGCAGTCGCATGAATGTCATTGACTCGAAAGACTTTCGCAGCATCTCCACGTTCCTGGAGATGTAGTATGCGGTCGGTGAGTCATGCTAATGCCAACGTCGCAGCGTGGGTTGCACACTCTTGGACTGCAAGGAGAAACGGCAGGGTCGAGCTGTGAAGCTTTGTCACTGCTGCTGAGGATCGGCTGCACACCCGCCCGCTTGGGCAAGACTGGTAGTTCAGCCAGACGTCCCTGACAAGCTAAATCTAACCCGGATGTGTAAGTAGCAGGGTAGAGCCTCAAGAAGTCGCAGGACAGACGTCGCTTCGGATGGCAAACTCCTCAGCTATTAATGAAGAAACATCTGCAGAAAACAAGTGGCACTCCAAAATATCCTGATGTGTCGAGCTTTACTCCCTGAGCCGCGATCATGAGCACCGTGCGCCGACGCATATATTGAAGCACGTAGCTCAGAAGATCAGCCTGCCACAGGGTACTCTTCCAGTTGACATGGCAAGTGGCACATCCGTAACACTGCCAAGGTAAGACGACACCTCCCCGCTGCATCACAGCCGGACAGCCAGCAAAAGATGGGCCAGGAAAAAAACGAGGGAAGTTTATGAAGTTTGCAGTTGCAAAACAGACGGGAAATTCTATCTCAGGCCTCAGGCAGGTTGCGCAACAGCTGGCGCTGCCTCCGGTCCAACTTCTGGTATGGCTGTGTGGAACTGCCTGCACATTGTTGGGCAGTTTGCTGACTCAACCTTGGCAGTTTTCAAGCCTACAAACTGCTCCTACTTCACTTCCTCATCACACAAACATGGCACATGGCCTGAAAGCTCCAGCGGAATCTTTGGCTTCTGAGTCTCCTCGAGTTTAAGGCGGTTTTGACTCGAATCCATCTCGCGAAGATCCTTCATGCTGGAATCGCCAGGCTTTGCCCCATGGTTGGGCATGCCCAGCGTAGACATCAGCCCAGGATTGGAGACGTCCGCTTCAAGAAGGCTCACATAGTTCTTGGCTGCTTCGTGACTCCGAACGTACTGATCAATTTCCAAATCCATATCCTGCCGAGTCAATCTTGGAGGCAGGCTCCGCCCCCGACCTTGGAAGTTCATCTCATCTTTCACCACCAAGAAGGTGTTCTCATACTTGAGACGGCGGCAGCACATGATGATACTGCACTTCCTCTCAGGACCCTGATAAATCTCAAACTCAATTCAATTTGAGAGGAAAACGGCAAGAAGAAAGAACAAGCTGGAAGATACATGACGCTTCAGTCAGATCTCATTCCTGCGGCAGAGCGTGCATGGCAGTTGAAGCTTAAAAGCATCTGAGTGCCAGCTGCGACCAGGAGCAGAGAAGCGCTTCCGCACCTGTCAATGCCACAACAGATTCCCTGTGCCCCGTCTCAAGGGATAACCCTCAAGACAGATGACGCGTGCACACCGGAAGCATCTGGTGCCAAATTGCATGTGGTGCATGAAGCAGCGCAGCGAGCACAAGCAGAATGATGAACCTAACCTCCCACGCCAAGGCACGTGCAGACAAAAGCTGGCCACGAGCATGCCCGTGCCTTGGCAACAGGGTGATGCGTGGCGGATACCCGCACATGATCAGGCATCCCACACAGTCCAGCCATGTCCAGCCCTGCTTTGCAACTGTCTGAGCCTGTGGCCTGCACGAAAATCACTGCATTTGCAGCACCTGTCCAGCCCAAACCCCCACAGATGAAACCTTGCATGCACTTTGGGGAGTGCGAATTTCCGTGCCTGCAGGATGAACTGAGCTGGTAAACTCTTGGGCCGCCACGGTGGCGGCAACGGCCAAGGCGGCCTTCACTGGGCTCCCCCGCAGAGCTTCAAGCACACAGTTCTTTTCAAACTGTTCTGAACGAGACTGAGCCAAAGAAGTAGCTGTGCTTTGCGTTGTCACGTCTTTTCCATCCTGCCTGAAGCTCCATGCTCACAGGCAGGAGCTTGGCAAGTCCAGCGCAGCTTCCTGGCTAGATGGACACATGACTCTACGCGGGATACTTGCCGCGCATTCTCAGAATGGAGTGTTGAACAGCCCTCTAGAAGGCTTGAAGACCGCTCTGCTCATGAGGCATTCTGCTCGTGATGCAAACGGCCTGGCTGTTACAACTCACAGCGAGCTGGGCAAGGCAGCCTTCATCTAAAATTAATTACATGGCAAGGTATGTCAACAGATGCTTTAAGGAGCTTCATGAAGTGGCGGCAATTTTGAACGGCCTTTTGCAGCTGCGGAATTGATCTAGCCAAACTGGCTAGAAGCTCAGCCAAAAGGGCCAACACAGGCGGCTGGTAATGCAATTTCATGTCAAGGGTTTCCTGCGACTCAAGCACATGGTCGCTTCGGTTGTCATATACCAGACATGGAAGCTGACGTTTACAAGGCATGTCCGGCTGATGGTGAGGCGCCGTGAGCGCCTACCACGCACCCCGAACAAGCCCGACAAGCTCTATACTACACTATGCTCGGGGCCGAATTCTTGCAGACACAGCAGCCGACAGAGTTGGGTCGCAAGAACAGATGATCGCGCTATCTTGCTCTGACACAACAGCTCCCTAATTTGTCCTCGAAGCACATAGAGTAGACTTTGAAAAAACATGTTGGCTCTGCAAACAAAACTCCGCTCCTCCTTTCGGTCTCTACACCTACCGGAATGACGGAATGATTATGATGAGACAGGAACGGTTTGAACAACGACATCTGCCACGAGCAAGACCCAAATCTGCCAGCTGAATCCTGCTTTCCACTGTACAACATCAGGGCGGAATGCCAGGAACGGGGATAACAGGCGCCAGGCTTGAATTTGTCGAAATCGCATGCATAGCTTTCTCCCTTCCCAGTGGATTCGCATGTGGACCACAAAGCTGCAATCCGGTTAACGAAAAAAACAAATCTAGCGGTTGCCTGGCATTCCGCCAACCCTGTATCAAAACTTCTTGGCTGTTTTTGCCAGAACGCAATCTCTTGCTATCTCTTGCTTTAGTGCAAGGTACCTACATGCAGGAAAACATGCCCGTCAGCTCAAAAGTGCCCGTGGCTTCTTTGCAAGATGCAAGTTGCATCAAAATCCAGACCCTGAGACGTGGGCCGACTAGTGATCTTTGAGAGAAATCAGAGAGGCACATATCGATAGCATGAATAGCCCGCGACAGTTCTGCTGGACTGAATTCCGGAAGAGCGCGTCCATAATTCACATCTGCCAAAGGGACCAAACTCGATGCCCTTGCACCTGCTGAAAACAGCACGCTCGCAGACTTGTTGATGCAGAGTTCTGGGTTAACAAGATGCAACGTGAAAGCAGCTTGGCCTCGTTCCCATCTCTCTGCAAAGGCTCTTGCAAGAGCTGAGCGTCTGGTCTCGCACATGCGTGAAGTAGCTGTTGGAGTTATCCTCAACTTGTCTTAGCATCGCCCTATTGGTCTGAAAGTGGGCAATGTCTTCTCCTACCTCCTAGACCTTTGATGCTTCAGACAGGTATCATACCAGGTACGTCCTCGACATGCCTGATTCTCGCCCCCAACAATCTCAAAGTCGGACGGGGCAAACAAGAAGCAGGCGTGCCCTTTCACAGGACTGGTCGCGTGGATGCCTGCAGAGCTTTCAAGATTATGAGGTCGCGCAACAGCCTTGACTTGCTGAAGTTCAGCCTGCCACATGTGTCCATACCTCGCATCTGCCCAACGGGCCGAACTCGATCCCTTTGCACACATCCGAGGCAATACGGCACCGCCTTTGGCAACCACCTTGCTGTATGAACAAGCGAACTTGGTAGATTGGGAGTGCGGCACTCTTAAGTCAAGCGGCTGAGCGTCTCATTCATGTAAAGCCTGTAATATTTGTCAGAGCTGTCGTCGGCTGTCACCCTCAGCCATCCGGACAAAATCAAATGCGAAAGCTCAAGCAATTACTTAATGCACGCAAACAAATCAGCCACAGGCCCGCGACAAGCTTCATTTTGCCCCGTGCCCAACGTCTCAAACTCGAAGGGGACCTTCGCTTGAGAAGACGAGAAGACCAGCTCGGCAGCACCAGACGCGCAAGGAAAATGAACGGAATAAATCCAAAAAAAGCAGGCTGCGACTCGCATTTCATCTTCATTTAGTTGTTCTGCGCAAATATGACTATGAGGAAATGCTACAAACCCACCGAGCACGGAAGAATATGCCTTCTTGGCAGCCGTAGAGCTAGCTCGTTCACCAACAATTGCTCAAGCTGGAGGTCCAACAGAGCTGTGCCAAGCCTTTTCCATGAGACTGCCAAATTGTTTCTAGTTACTAGGTGAAGAGAGGAAGTCTCTGGAGGCTTCTCCTCTCAGCGAAGCGGCAGGTTTGTGATTTAAGCAGACCTCCCAATCTTGAAGAAGAGTCTGGCAGCAAAACGATCCGGCCATGCCGTCTGTTGCGTTGCCTGCGAGCCACTCCATCATCAGTCCTGCAATCTTCGGTCCTTTTCCTGCTACTATTACCCCTGAAATTCAAACGATGCTGAGGGCTTTTCTTGGTGTGCATCGCCCCAGCACGACATTTACTCGCTTTTCCCGCTCGTCGTGTTTTGCCATCTCCTTTGCACGTTTCCCAGCCAACTTGAGAGACGTCATCAAACAAAGGTCGTTGTCATTGCACTTTCACATAGGCAGATAACAACAAGATGCGGGCATGCATTCATCACATTTCATCGTATCCTCAGGCACTTAGGCCCACGGAGTCCCAACCTAGTTGTTCTGGAATACTGGAATCTGACAGCGCTCCTGTATGGTGGCTGGTCCTGTGTGCGACGTGCAAGACTAACTATCATGCTTTGGAACAATGTCAACATTTGTGGGAAGGCTAAGCATGTGGCTTTGTGATAAACAAGCTCTGAAGTCACCAAGTACTTCATGCTCCACACTGCGCATAGCACAAGAGACAGAGTTGTAGAGACGGGTGACCCATAGCCACAATACAAAACAATTGGTTCAAGCAGTCTGACACGGTGACATGATATGAAGCAGAAAGTATTTGCGCAGCCTTCAGGCTTTCGCAGAAGTCAACCTGTGATTTTGTCAAAATACCCTCATGGAGCGGACATTTCAGGGAGGGGGTCAACATGTGCGCCAAGGCGCATATCGCAAGCAAGAGTACCCTGCCAGCGTGCTGGTGGCTTGAATGCCCGCACTCCGAGTCCAGACCTGCTTCGATTGCGGGCACTGCAACACAAAGCCCTGGAGCCCTGGAAGATATTGCCACTGAAAAGCGCCTCGCAGCGGCCAAAGGGACCATGCTCGATTCCCTTGCAACCCGGCGTGATGCGGCATTTCATCTTGCATTCACCTACAGTCATGGACAACATCTAACCCTGGACTTTGTGGCGCAGAGATGGACTTAGCAAGAAGCAAAAGACTCAAGCTCTACGTTGTCTTCCCTACCTGATAACGGATGCAGACAGTAAACTCACGTTAGGGAACCCGAGTTGGAGGGGCTTACCATGGACCATCATGGACCTTCCCCACAGATCCAGGCAAACTCTATCACTTTGCCTGAACTTTATTTGCAAGTCCTTTATCATGCTTTATACACACCCTGGGGATACTCGAAATCCATCTCATGTCCTTGCCGGCCCCCCGTAGAGCTATGGGTGTGAGCTAGAGGCGTTCCTAGCCTGCATGCCGAGAGAGCTTATGACTTCAAATGTCAGTAACCACCGATAGAGACCGAGAGAGAGCGCACGTTTGACGGCGCAAAACCCTTGCAAAACAAAGTGCCTTTGGATCCCAACCTACCTTCAGCTAGGAACGCTTGAAGACTTTGCTTTAGCACGGCTTCCATAAATGCTTTTAGATTGAAGGTCCAGGTCAACTGAATGGTTGTTGGACCTGAAACATGCAGCATAGCGTCTGAGAGTTTGATCTGGATAATGTGTGAAGTACTTGTTGTTGTTGTCCCACGACGCTTGACCTCTGCAAACCTGTGTAGCGGTTGGCAGCCCGTGTCCCCCCGGCACTGCAGGACACTCTTGCTGTGGCTCTGAGATCTAGAGAAAAAAAATTCCTGAGATTGCCTGGTCAGTTCCCCCGTTCATCTCTTCAAAGTCCGGCTCTGAAGGACACAAGGTGATGTTGTACCCAGCTTTGTTAGGAATGTTGGCGTCCAGCTGGCTCTCCGCAGTGCGACAAGTGAAGGTGCTGGTCTCATCATCAAAAGCCTTGGTCCAACAAATGGCTAACACATCACAATCACAAAATGCATCGAGTCAAGGAGCAAATGTGTAGGCAGTCGGGCAGCCAGCCTCACTCTGACAGGGTTGCAGAGGCTCTGGTTAAAGCAAAGGGTAGCGTGCTCTAGACAGCTTCTCAACAAAGAGCTGTTCGCGTTTTTTGAACGCTTGTTCCCGTGCAAGTCCGACATGCTTTGTCAAGGCTGTATGAGTGTCAGCTACAAGTAGGAGAAATCGCGGCCTTGAGGATCTTATAGAAGGGCTGCGCAGTCATCTGCCAAGTGGGACTTGCTCCCTGACAGCCTGCGTGAAAGTCTTCACATCATGCACTACCCATTTCAGTCCTTAGCCCGACTCCTGCCTGCACCACCTTCCGGCACCGCGATTCCGAGCGCTTCAGTCCAGTTTGCACAACCACAACACTCAGCGCCGACAGGCACCTCAGGAGGGCCAAAGCAAACTTCTGTAGATTTGGATGGTCCAAACCAAGGCTGATCTTGCGAGACAGGGTGCCTTGTTATAGCATGTTGTTGTCCAAGGAGCAGGGCCAGCACCTTCCAACAGCGATTGTCAGTAAAAACACCTTGAGACACGGCCATACCCGCTTCAACTGCAGTACGAGGCACAAGCAAACATGTAGTGCATACTGGGGCAGTCAATCAGCCCCTCAAAGGGCGCAGGGCTGCGATATGTGTTTCCGCTCCACACGCAGAGCTGGTAGACTGACCAAACGCCAATGCGATGGCCGCACCTGAACTGCAAGATGGCACTTTGGAAAAAGTAGCTCAAAAGCAGTCTGTGCAGGCAGGTATCTCCATAGTGATCTGCGTCGTTGGGCGAAGCACTCTTGCAAACCAGTCCCAGACCGTTTTTGCGACTTGCCCGCAGACCTGCACTAAACATCAGTTTCAGTTACAGCAACACGCCGCTGCGAACACAAGCCCGTAGGGCATAGTAGGGCATACAATGCCGCAGGGTACCGACCAACTTGCGAAGCAACACTGTAAACATTGTAAACAATCCCAGCCCATTTCCAGAAGCATATTTTAGCATGAACGATTCAAAAGCACGTGAATTGCTTTGCTTGTCTTTCACATGTCTTTAAGTTAGGCTGGAGCACGAGACCACTTCCGAAGCAGTCGCTATGCTTCTGGCAGTAGCCATATCCTCCGTCTACTTGAGTCAACAAGGGACTGATGTCATCCTTGGTGCGAGCGGGCAGTTCGGAAGTGAACGGATGTTTGCAAATGAAAGCTGAGCTGCATGTCCCAACGCTTGAAGTTGCTTGGTAAACTCCCACGGGCAAGCTGAGAGGCGCCTGTCAGCCACATGTTGCAGGTATACTGATGCCAAAATCACATCAATAAACTTTATGGCAATCTGTCTCAGAGTCACCATAACAGCTGCTGCAGTGCAAGTGAGCGCAGCGTCAAGCAGCAGGGAATGTTGTTTGTGTCTGCGGCTAGGCAAGCATCAGAATCCAGCAACGTGCCGTCCGGTAACGTGCTCTGGCTTCACTGCTTGCTCTCAGACAAAAGCACCTGTCTGGCTGCGCGAGTGCCCCAGCAGCTCCGCAGTTGTAGCCGCGTGAACTGGCAGATGCACCTGTGGTAGCAGACTCAAATCACTGTCCAAAGCAGTACTCCCTGCAAACCAAAATACCGCCTTCGTAGACAGGTCGGAAAGATCCATCTGGCTTCATCCTTACATATGGATTGATCAAGACACGGAGCTATGATGAGCGTTTTGGTCGCTGGCACCATTGAACTTTGCTTTGAACTGCCTATATGCGTTCCGCCCTGAAATGCCCAAACGTGCATCTGCTCGTCTCCGCGCTTTAGGCTCCGTGGCAGCGGTTGGGCAAGGCTTCGATTTGGGCTGTTACAAGCTGTGCCTACGCAGGGCCAAAGCTTCTGATCGCGGGCAGCCTGAAAGCTTCTTTGTTGACGCACACGAGAAGACCGCGGGATTTTGTAAAGGCAGGCGGTACGCCATCTTACGGACGGTAGAGATGACGAACATGCACGCTTGTGGCCAATCTCACACAACCGGCAGGGAAGCTCACAAAACCATCAATACCCTTCATTCTTCAGCCGACATGCTCGATGCCGATGTTGAAACCGTTGATGATCGAAACATCATAGAAATCTGCGCCGTGCGGAACAAAAGTGAACTCCACCGCTGTGGCGACTCCGTTCAGACCCTGGCACATGCTCTAGGGTTGGGCTGCCAGCTTTCCTTGCCGGCACTGCCTCTGCCAAACGTTTGCCCGAGACAAATGCCTTCATTGCAGATACTCTTGTGCAGCAAGCCCCGCCCAGAGCCTGGTATGTTGGACACTTGTCCAATCCATTGCAGAGGGCGGACGACGGCGGTCCACCGTCCATGCTGGCGTTGGGGTAGAACTGAGCGCGATAGCCGTAAGTTCAGCAAATGTCACCACTTGTACAGTAGCACGTGCACTTGCGCCGCTTCTACATTCTACTCTCTGCACTACTGGGCTAAGCCGTGGCCTCCAGTTTCCCGCTCCAGTCAGCAACTACCTAGGGTGTTCAGCCAAACGGACTTGGAAAAATGTTATCAAGCTGAGGCTCTCACCCCGTTGCCTTGGCGAACAGGCGCCTGATCCAAACGGAGGCAGTCTGAGCTACTACATTCGAGAACAACAGCGCAGGCACAAACAACTGAATATGCTGTCAAGATGCATTAGGCGTGTAGAGCTTCACGGTGGCACCAGCGGGAATCGTCCAGCCTTGTAGGGGCATATTCTCAAAGCATGTTCAAATCGTCTCTGCTCCCCTGCCTGTGGATGGCTCAGGCATGTCGAAATAGCAGAATCTCAGTCGTGCATGGCAAATCAGCCAGAGCAGCGACAAGAAAAGCCATCAATCTTCTAGATCATGTGAATCATGGCCTGAGCTCCAAACCCATTGTACCAGTTGCAGGTCATGCCAATGGGACAACCAGCACCACATGGGATCTCCTTTTTATCATTTTGCTGCTTGTGGGGCTACGACCTACGACTGAAGCGACCATATTACTCCTGTTCACCGCAGACACGCGACAAGCTGGCAGTATTCTCCGTATTGAAACGGAGCTCAATGTTACCGAGCATCACTGTTGCCACCTGTTGGATGCATGATCATTGGCCGTTTGCACCGATTGATGATGTGGAGCTTGCGGCCTGCCCAATGCTTAGTCATGATAACAGATAGTCTTTCTTACAGCCAGAAACGTGCGGGCTGACATCCGCTTATGCTTTCGCCCAGCTTGACCCCTGCACTTTCGTGCCTTCGTAAACTTGGACAGGTGAGAATGATGTTGTGGAAGTGGTCCATGGCAGCCTGCTTCCATGTCATGCGGGTTGTGTACAGCAGATGTGCAACACAGGGAGGGTGCACATGTTGCATACTGTATGCCTGAAATGGTGGTTAATTCCGTGACGTCCTGTGCAGCTGGGCTCCTTCAAGCCTACAGTGCTGAGCCTATCGGAAAAACTGTGCTTTAGCAGCTTTGCCAGTGGATACGAAACCTTAATGCTGAGCTCGCAGCCAGGGCCACCACCAGTCACTGCCATTCGTGCCGTTGCCCTTCGTGCGGTTGCCCTGACTTGACCAATGATGCTTGAGAAGCTTGGTCCCTTCCAATGTTCGTATCTCACCTATGCCTTCTCTGTAGATTCGGACTGAATTTGGGGCTAGAATTCGGCAAAAGTAGACCCTCCGCCTCCTGATGCTTCGAGACGTCAGGATCGTCAGACTCCGTTGTGCTTGGTGTCTGACGCGAACCAACCACCTTGATTTGAGAGTTGAAGCACATTTGCACAGCTGGCAGAGGCCAACAAATCTTTCACAGCTTTACCGTTTGGGATATCAAACTGAACTCGCAGTACCCATGGTTCGCCGTCGGCGAAGCAAAAACACTGGCATTCGCGGGCTATTCTACACGTATGCCATCTTCATTTTTTCCATCCGCTTGGGTTTTGGCTACATTTTGAAGCAAGTCCTGTGTCAAGAACACTCTTGGTTTGCCGTCGGCATTTTTAGACCTCTCGAAGCCAGGAGCAGCGCTTCACGTCAAAAGATTAGCATGGGTGCACTGGTCACCGTATGCTCTTGGAACACAAATGAAATTATGGTTTTGCCGTGGACGCTCTGGTCACCGTATGCTCTTGGAACCCGAACGCAATTATGGTTTTGGCATGGATGCACTGGTCACTGCAGCTCTTGGAACCCAAATGCAATTCTGGTTTTGGCATGGATGCACTGGTCACTGTATGCTCTTGGAACCCGAATGGAATTATGGTTTTGGCATGGATGCTCTGGTCACCGTACGCTCTCGGAACCCAAACGCAATTATGGTGTTGGCATGGATGCTGTGGTCACCGTATGCTCTTGGGCATGGATGCGCTGGTCACCGAATGCTCTTGGAACACCAATGGAATTATGGCTTTGGCGTGGATGCTCTGGTCACCGTATGACATATGATCTTGAAACCCGAACGCAATTCTGGTTTGGGCATGTAGCCAAAACCCAAGCGACAGCACTTCACCCCCCAAAACGGATGGAAAAAATGAAGATGGCATACCCACGAATACCAGTGTTTTTGCTTTGCCGACGGCGAACCATGGGTACTGCGCGAAACTAAACAAAAATCAACAGCGGACTGCATTTGCCTCAACTAGTTTCCTCATGAAGCTTCCGGTATGCACATACCTCTCCAAGGATCAGACTGTTTGTATGAGTGCCGGTCCACCTTCCAGAAATGGCAACCCATGAAACACTGGCACTGGTTGGATCGCGTCATCGACTCAAAAATCAGACAGATGTCATGGCCTTTCATCTTGGACACACGACGAGGCTCTCGATCTTCATTCTTAACCTTGATTGAAAAGAGCCACAAAAACCTCTGTACACACTGGCAAACTGAAACCTGACTCACACGCATCCAAGTTGCATGAGAAATCAGGCCGTTGGAGGAGATGCTGTAGCGATTGACATCTGGGTCAGAGCTTTGGCTGCCTTCAATGACCGCAGATTCACCTTGGTTCTTAACAGGCGAAAGACCTCCCAGCCTCCTAGCATCTCCTCGCAGCTCCTTACCCACACACAGCAGGCGCAAGTCTAAGATCAACGCTGGTCTTTGCAGCAAGTGCTCCATGAAGCACGGCAACGGAAAACCATAGGCAAAGCACCATGACATGTAGGTGCCAGTCACAATCCTGCTGTTGCTTATCTACTAACAGCTGCCTTCACCGCGCGCGTCTCATGCATTCTTTTAAACAATTTGCTGGTACATGATCATGTGACAGCACGATTGAGCTGGGAACAGCATTTGCAAGCGTCACAAAGTAGATCGGGTCTAAAAACTGAGAGCATCCTTTTGTTGTGGGTTGCCAAAACCGTTTGAAGGCACTTGAGCTTCCATACGCAAATCCCAGACCCAAACCTGGATTTAGCGGGCGCAACACTGTCGATCTAATTTGCACAGAGTAGGAATTCCAGTGTTAACCCCACATGAATCTGTTCATGTTAGAGCACCAAAGCTAGCTTTGCCAGGAACCCCATACAAATTTCCCGCGTATGATGCCACCATGTCAGAAATAGAGCAGATCATGCTGTGCTGTACACACGGTCAAAAGCGCCTATGAAGTTGCCCAGGAAGATGTTCCGCGGCTGCGAGCCATCATGCTTCCACAGGCTGAAGGCCTGGAAGCATGTGCCAAGTGGAGAGACCCCGCTCTTTACACAGAAAAGGCTGCTGATCGCTTGTCTACGCGACTGCGGATCATGAACGATTCTGCCAACCAACTATTACAGAAGGGGAACTATGAAGCTGTAATTAGGGCAAAGCGCATCCGCCAACCTTTGGGGGCGCGTTTTGCCTCATAAACCCAAAACGTGTGTACGGAGGTAGGGGGGTATCTTAGCTGTTTTTTCTGGAAGTCCCCCACATCCGAGGCAGCCAGCTGAACCAACTTCGCGTCGGCTGGTCTCACGCATCAAACCACAGGCAGCACGACAACATGTCGACTGCAACGCAACATCGGCAATTTGACCACAATGCCGCGTGTTCAAAACTGCTTCTCGTCTGACTTTGGCGGCGTGTTGGATGGTCTGATCACGGAAGAGGGTGTGACTGAACAAGGGGAACCCAGCATTTCCTGGAAGATCCCAGGCACCAACCTCACGCTCGCACACAGCCTTCTGGTCTCACATTGGCCTGCTCGGGCCCAAGGCCTGGCCTGAGGCCCTGAGGCTTTGGAGACCAGGCAAGTTCCTTGGAAAGGGTTGCCTTCATGTTGCCGCACAGTAACAGCAACATCACACACAGCAAACGCCCAGGCGTCCAAGTTCCGGTAGAGTCCCGGCTGGCTTGATTTTTCTCGTTTGCACCGGTCGGTCTCTCGTGCCGTGTTGACTAAACCGTAGGCATAAACTCAACACAACATCAGCAATTTCACGGCAGCGCCACTGCTGCAATATCGGCTGTGATAGCGTGAATCTGCTTCCCGTCTGACTTGCACAGCTTCTGCCGCGATTTTCCGGGTCATGTTACCATGAAGAGCCTGACTGCCTCTGTGGTCAGCATGTTGAGCCGGAGGCTTTTAAAGTCGGGCCAGGCCCATTTGTGCTCACTCCAGCGATGTCGCCATAGCTTTGCTATTTCAGGCCTTTCAGCGAAAACCCAAAATTAAAACGGAGTCTGAATTCTGCTGCTAATGCTCCGGGTCGTGAGAAGCCTGTGTAAAGTACTGCTCTTGCTACTCTCGATGATCTTGCAGGGTTTCAAGTCCTCCTTGTCCCTAGCTTGATCCAGGACAGCGTCCGAATTGCGCTGTTGGTGCTCGTGCCCTGCGCGTGGGCGCACTGTCAACACATATGTTGTGCGTTTTGTTGGGGTTTACAACACATTTTGGGCCCCAGCAGCCTCAAAGAACCCAGCATCATGAGTATCGTCCGTTTCCCTCTTGATGCAAGCCAGAAAATTCATTGCTCCAAACCCTCCGTAGCGTCGGGGAAACCTCAAAACGCATCAATGAAGCATCTTACATTTTGCCCCCACAACCAATTTCCTAACAAGGGTTGGCAGCTTTGGCATCGACCGGTATAAAGCCTAGCGTTAGCTAGGGCAGCTAGGGCACTGGACCACGACGGATAGGCCGGATAAGGGGGGTCCTATGCCCCTGCTCGCCCAAGGTGTTTGGTGGATGCGCCGCTCGTCTCGGTTTCCTCAATTATTGATACGGGCCGCCGCCGACTCATAACAACTCAAGCCTCGCCTTGCTGCCGGCATCGGCTCCTGTGAAGACACACCTGCTCGGGGTGAACCCCAACAGTTTGAATTCAACTGCGGTGCGACTACCAATATTAGCTGTCTGGGCAGGAACAGCTTCCCGTCTGAGTTGCATGACTTTTGCTACGACTTTCCGGCTTGTCTGGCCGAGTAGAGCCTGACTGCCTCTGGGGGCGGCAGCTTGCGCCGAAGGCCCTTAAAGTTTCCTCCTCCCGGCACCCAGTGAAAACCATCTTTGCGTTCTGGCTTGTGGCGCAGCAGTTGCACATATTTGCACGTTTGAGCTAAAGATGACAATAATGACACGTCGATATTAGCATCTGCACAGTAAAACAGGAAGCTGGATAAGTGTTTGTGTGCTGTAAGGTGCGACGACTGAGCCTTATAGGTGAAAGTCATGCTTCGAGAAGTGCGCTTCCTCCACATCTCGCTGGATGATCAACCAAATGCTTCCCTACTTGTCAGCCTCTTGACTTGGAATAAATGTGTTTTCTGGACTCGCATGGCATCTCGTGGGATTTGTTTGATCTGAACTGACGCAATCGCCTCAAAATGTGCAAAAAGAAAACACAACACCTGTTGGCCTTGCCCATAGGCATGGCAAGAATGAGCTGCAACTTCTTGGCAGCTGCAAGTTACTTGATTTGGTATCACTGCCTGGACAGCCGCGGCGCCCCATGCAGCGTTCAACAACGTCACGTGCACCTGAGCGAGGACAGCATCTACTGAATCATAGTCTAACATCTTAGAACAACTGGATCATGAAAGAGCGTAGGTCCGGGTTCCAGACATGATACACCTCACCTTAAGTGAAAGTCATCTGCTTCAAGCTTGCTCTCCAAAGCACTGCAAACGCAAAGAAATGCCAGTTCAACACGCGACATCTTGCGTTCTGGCCACTCAAGCTGCGCACCGCGTGCTCTTGCAACAGACACAGAAGGGCGATGAAGACGAAGCACCCCAGAAACGTAGAGCCTGAAAGTGTGTAAAGGCATTAGGACACTACGACAGGATGTGCACACAGACAAATCAGGACCCCCACACGTGTGGCAAAGCCCTTCTCCTTCCTCCGCTGAGCTTTCACGAGCACCTTGGCCAGGAAGGGATCATGCATCGATGTCAGTCCACTGCAGGAATTGCTGAGACCGGTGAGTGCTGATGATTGGAATGGCGCTTTTGATTAAACAAAGATGTGTTGCAAGGAACTCTCAGAACTACTATCGTTAGCTTGCCAGCGTCCTAACCAAAACTCGCTCCTTCTGGAGTTGTGGGCTCTTCGGAGTCTCTTTTCGCCGCTTAGAAACCAAAAAAGAACCCTGCCTTACGCTAAGGATGTGCAGGTGAGGAATCGGGCCAGTCCAACTATCACTTGAGGATGGGTATCACTCCACAAGTACTTCCTCACGTTTCTGGCTTAGGCTTGAGCCACCTTCCAGTTTGTCCGCGTAGCAGGCCAACCAGTCTGCAAGCGTCTCCTGCAACTACCCAACAGAACTTGCCTGTCCAGACACCTGGACCTAGCCGTGCACTCCAACATCATTAGATCTGCGTTTGACCTGGAGAAATTCACCGACACACCACTGCGGGGATCTCATAACCCTGCCAAATTTGATACTCTGCTCTGCGCATCCACTGGCTTTCGTATTCAGCTGACATATTTCAGAGACTTGTATCTTTCAAAATTGTTGCCATTATACCAATGTACCACGGTGTGGATGTTTTTTCGCCCGCCAATCTTTAAACATGAACGAGTAATGTGAGCCCTACCACATTTCACGTTGCCATAGAATGACTGTGTTATCAAGATTGCCTTGCATGAGCAGGTGCTATGCCCGAGGTACAAAGAGTCTGGAACATGAGATTCATCAGATGGACATCAACCCCTCAAAGGTAATGCTCATAGCAGGCAATGGTAAGCTAAGCAAAACCATTTGTCCCGGATGTTTGCTGAAACTGGCCTGTGCCCATAGCTTCTGGCTGCGCGGGCGCGATCGCCTTAACCCATCATGCACGTGACAGGTCAAGCTTGTAAGCGGGATCCACTCCAGGAATGCTGCGTGAGTACAAATACGTGATTTGCAAGACCATCCGAAGGCACCCACCGCGTTGTAGCAATGATCTCCGCACGCTCTTGGCCTAAGGAAGTCATTTTGGTGTTTCTGCTGATTTCGCATGCGTGCGAACATACATCAAATGCATGTCCATAGCACATCCTCTGATCACGAAACTCGCTTTCATCCAAAAGCGACGGAGCCAATTCCCACCGTGTCTGCAAGGCCACAGTGTCAGTCATTGTGTTCCGGAATGCTGGTAAAGCAGAACAGAGCAGACTTAGGGGCCAAACCATTCTCCTCTCCCAGCAGCATAGCACTTCATGGGCTGACCAAGAATGACTGACTTCGCAGCTGGTCATATTGTCTGTGGACCACATGGCCTCATGTGCTTTTCTCTTGTGACGCTGTTTCCTGCTCCTCAACATTCAGCACACTAATATCTGCACAGCAACAACACATGTTTTACTCGAGCTCGCACATCAAAAAGCAAGCACTAGCTCGTGATTGGGAGACGACCAAGCAGAATCACTTGCTGGAGCAAGCAGTAGCGCAACATACACACACGAAACTCACAATAAATGCATGTTTATGGATACATCCGCGATGCCTGTATTTGTAGGTACCAATACAGGGGTATTTTTTGTCTCATGACTGAACAACACTAGCCGGATTTATGAATCCTATGATAGCATGCAGCACCAAAACAGCTGTGCGACATCGCAATCGACACATTTTACGCTTCGACAGCTGTCAGCAACACCGTCAACGTACCTGCCGCAAGGCTTCCCATACATTGCCACATGCTGGATTGAATCTGGGAACCGCGAGCATGAAGCACGACTAGCTTTAAAAGGTCACCATTATGCAGCCGTGATATGCCTATACCCACTCCTAGTTACGGCGACCTTTTTTGTTCTTGGCCCCAAGGTTTCTTGCTTTTTTGCAAATTTGTGTTTTCTTCCAGGCCTGTTGAGCTGCAACTGAATTGCAAGGGCAGTCCACATGTCTACGGTCAGAGCCAGACAAGATTGCGGACCTCAACAAGACTTCCATGTTTGGATCCTTGGAAGGTCTGCTCTGCAGCATCAGTGCGGCTCTTGGCCCCTGTCTTCTGCTGGCTCAAAACTGCTGCTAGTAGAATCTCGTGTTGCTAGGTTCAGTCTGGTGAGTTACAGCGATGTCTCATAGAGTTCGTTTAAAGAGGCTCCCAATCCAGAAAAACGCAAAACAAAAGGATGAAAAATTATCCCGCAAGTTGTTGCAGAAAATCAGTGAACCCAGTCTCCTGCCCTTCAAATACAAAAACGCGTTCAGGGCAGTGACATGCTAAATGCTCGTGCCGGTTCTGCCTGCTCTTCTTGAGAACTTCGCCTCCGCCAGGCACATGCGACGACTTCAAGACCCCAGCCACTCTCAGACTGAATTACAAAATCACCATGATATGTTGACCACCCGAGTAGCAGTTGCACCAGTGGATTAAACATGCAGCATCCCGCGAATCTCAGTAAAACTTGCTTCCAAGAGGCGGCAGGTTGCTCGTCTGATTGGACTTCGAAAGGAAGCGGCACCTGCCAGGATGCAGACTCCTGACAACCTGTTTATGGACATGCCACAATCAGCCTCCAAATCCATCCATGCCGCAGATAAGCTGCCCAAGCGCACAGTACGAGGGCCAACCTCCAATACAGCATCCGCTGGCGTCAGCGTTTCCTTCGCAATTCCGGCAGGCTGGGCTTGATTAGCTTTATACGTATGCGTCAAAAGGCCTTCTGGAAAACCAGCCGAAGCTGACGACATTGTGTAGCAGAGTCCAAGAGTTCATCCAGTTGAAAGCTCGGTTGCGACATCACCGCATCCGCTCGACATTGCTCCGGTCGCAAGTTCACCTCATCCGTTCTTGCAGGCACCTTACTCAGGTCAGCTTCAAGAGATGTTGGTGCAAGTTCCTTCCCCTTCTCCGAAGTAAAAATTCGTTTCATGAGCTCTGTCGCTCTCCGGCGCATGGCCTGATCTGCTCCTGGCTCCTCGAGCAGCCGTAGATCTGTTCTTCGACAAATGGCCGGACCACCTACTTCCCACCGCAGCGAGAGGCGCTCAGCAGGAACACCATGGTCCAAAAGCCATTCTTGCGCAGCTTCTGCCCTCTCCTTCGCCGTCTCTGGAGCCTCGCGATCCTCTGAATGACCTATGATTTGAACGTGTCCCTTGGAACTTGCACGTGGCTCCATAAGTGTTTTGACCAGGGAGTGCAACACTGCCTCCTGCATTGTGGGCACGTTCACCTCTTCCAAGCGATACTGAAGAGATTTTTGCCCTGTTACCTCGTACTTCGCTGCAATAGGCTCTGGCTCTTTGCCAGTAGCACTCCCATTCCTCACGTCTGACGTTTCAGAAGCTGTCACAGTTGGCAAATGTGCCGCGGCAAAATCTGCCCCTGCCTGCTCTGATCGCACAGCCTCACGCAGCTTGCGGCGTAACCGGGCCACCTCCTTCTCTTGCTCCGCCACAGCAACCACTGCCCGATCGCGTTCTTCTTGCACTTCAGCTGCATCAGCTGCATTGGCTACATCTGCTTGCGCACCCTCTCTCAGAGGACGGTTGAGTAAGGGCGTAATCAAACCGTACACCCAATCGTAGAGGCATACACACTGCCTGTCTGCCTCCAGTATTTCTTGCCGTGCCAGGGGAACATCATTGGCAAGGATGTGTTGGACGTGCCTAGCCAAACCTTCTCCAAATGGCTGCTTCTGCAAGGCTCCCACTATCGAAGCCATGGGCGCATGCGAAGATCCAGCACTGCTCGCAGTTTCCTGACAAGGGGAAGCCCAAATAGCCATGCTACCTTCGTGCCATCATGGGGGATTCACGATTGTTCAGGACTTCATTCAACCCATGCTAATTGGACGATAAATGACAGAGCCTTGTTCAACACGTGTCAAGAACCTGGCCTCAAAGCCAAGAAAGGAGGCAAGCCTCTCAGCCTCAATCAACCCAGCAACTAAGCATTGAAGGATCTTTCGGTTGTGTGGCCAGGCAGAGGCGGTAAATGCGGCCGCACGTTTGGAATCTGCTTCGCTGTTTACATTTGCGGTTTTGTCGTTCAAGGCTTTCAGAAACTAAAGAAGAAAACTTGGAGCGAAAAAAAAATGAACGAGAGGAAGACAACACGAACGCCGGAAACAAATACAAGGACGCCAAAAAAATGACGAGAGAAGGCAATGACAAGTGAACTACATATGAACACTAAAAGAAAAGCGAGGACTGAAAGAAAGTAAAGAAGAAAGAAGGTAAGGAATGAAGAAACAAACGAAGAAATAACCAAAGAGCGAGACAACAAGCAGGAATTGCAACGAAAAGTCAATGAAAGAAGACATAAGTCAGGGGCAGGAAGACATGCAGAAAGATGCAGGCCAAGCATAAACACTTCAAAGAAGGCAAATGAAGACAAATTGTTACGGAGCAAAGCGAGGAAAAACGCAGAGACAGACTCTTCAGATAGACCCTGAACAGCAGAGTCCAAAGCAGGTCAACCCTACAACCACCTGATTCCAAAAGAGCCTGGAAGCCCAAACTCCCAAAACCCTACAGGCCACAAACCGAGCCCTAAACCTCTGAACCCTTTGAGCCTCTAAGCGCCTTCAAATGCTTTAAAAAATGCCAGGTAAGGGACAAAATCTCACAGAAGAAACGCTTTTCTTTCACATCTGTAATTTACTCTGTGCTCAGGACTTCGGTAACAGCCCAGCAGTAAATCAAGCTACTCCAGTGCTCGCATCTGCCAAGTTCCTTTTGAGACTTTGCTCTCCAACGCGGATGGAAGGCGAGCAAAGGACCGCAAGGACCCGGACAAGTAAATTAGTTTTGGGCCCATTTGGCAAGCAGTATTCAACAAGTGTCCTTGAATTTGATAAACTTGTACTGTCGCATGAACCCGTGTGCCAACTGAGAACTGACGGCCCATCAAGCCAAATTAAATTCAGCGGCCAGGAGCCCCTCGGAAAATCTCCTCAAAGCTCTGGCTACAGTTCAACACATTGGCCCCTCAATCTAAGCTATGCTGTACTGGACCTCCACATGCCTGCCTGCCCAGCTGGTATGGTAGCTAGTAACAACTGGCCATCCCCTTTCACCACGCTCAACTCCAATAGTATATGCGTTGGACAGTGGTGCTGACAGTAATGATTCTAGCAGTAGTCACTAGCCATCGTGACAGTTGGAACAGTAGCAGCTGCAATAAAATGTATAACAGAAGCAGGAGTAATAGCAGCAGCAGCCGCAGCGGTGGCTGGGGTGGCTCCAATCATGTTGCGCCTGCTTATGCTTTGAAGGCAAATTCCTGCCTGGCATGGCTTGCGAAGCAGGACCTGCAAATTCCTCCACGGTACACGCCAAGGAAATGGATGCTCTCCCAGTTCTGCAAGCAGCGGGGCCTGAGACATCCTACCAACAATTGTCCCACAACGCCTTCAACTTCAACGGCCCGGGCCTCCAGCAGAAGCATGACAGCCACAGCCAACCTGTCGGTCTCGTGGCACTGTGAACACATCAGGATGAAATTGAAGGCGTCATTCAGTTGCTCATCATTCATCCGATCTTCGCTCCTGCCCATTTTCCTTTAGTAGGCAGGCCGCCTGTGAAGGACTGCTGGCGGAGGCTCATGATGAGCCGCCATTGCCTTCAGCACCCCTGCTTCATGCATTGCCCACGTGACATAGCAGCTTTGCTACATTTTGCTACAATGCTACAAACATCAATGATTCTTTCACATGAGGCAGACACTACAACTTGCAACTACAAGTGCACCTGACCTTCATTGCCAACTCCTCGGGGGGATCTGATGGCAGCTCCACATTCAGAACCGAGCCGTCGCCGTGCAACAACTTGGCACGCAGTGGCACTTTGGAAGCTTCATGCGTCAGCACTGAACATGGTTCTGTGCCTCAGGCCGCTCCAAGGAACCAAGTTTGCAAGTCAAAATTGTTCGCCCAGAATCCCAAGATTTTGCCTTGCTGTGCCAAAACGATCCTCCCCTCGGGCACTAGTTCAGCGGCATGGTTTAGAATTGCAACTTCCTCTACGATCTCAACTTGTATTTTGTGAGTGTGTGCTTTTGTGGCTGCGAAGAAATCACAAGTCTTCTTGCGTCACATGATATTAAAAGCTTTGGCACCTTGCTGCTCTCGAGCTCCAACCGGTGCTGTCTCCGCCGACGCAATTCAGCCTACCAAAAAACAACCATACCATTTGCTGAAGCTCGTCTAAATATGCGTGGGTATGCATAATATGATAAATCACAACTTGTCTGTGTTTAACATGATAAAAAAAACAGCATGTAACGTAAGATTGCTTCAATGTTGTTCAACAATTAATCCCGATTGTTGTTGGAATATATATATATACATATACATATACACAACACCAAACATGCCACCAAGCACATTCAAGGATGTGTAGCATAGCACCCTTTGTCCAGCCTCAGCGCCAAGCAATAAGTCCCGAAGCTGTACTATGTGTGCTCCTTGTGCTGCTTCGTCTGATCCTCCAATCTCACTAGTTCCGTTATCACATCACATCACATCACATCGCATCGCATCGCATCGCATCGCATCGCATCGCATCGCATCGCATCGCATCACACCACATCAAATGGTGGTTGAAACCGATGTCATGCAAGACTTCCCCTAGGTAATTTGAATATGGGAATGCAAAAAAATGCAAGCAAAATCCTGGTGCTGGAACTGCACCGTGGTCGGCATATCCTGCCTCACCAAGATTTCTGAGTTACACAAATGGGAAGCAAAGACTTTCATCGCAAGCACAACAACCAGCATTTGAACACGCTCGTGTCGCGCCTGCATTGAAAAGGCACTTTATGCCAAAGCTGATGGGATGTTGACTACCAATTTATGCACAACTGGCTTGCAAGCCTAAGCATCATGCTCCATTTGGGCAACAATGTTCAAGGCTTGCAAACCATCCCTAAAAACACCATAAATCACTGTCGCATGTTCATGATCTTTACAGATATCGAACCTGTTTAGGTTCATTGATGCACATTGAAGACTTGAAGCTCAAAATGTCATTCTGTTGACCCCCGCCTAAAATGGGTCTTAGGGCACTCTACAATATAAGTCCCCAATCATTGTTTCCGGATATACCAGGTATGGTTGCGTGTCCACAGTTTTACCCGAAGGTGGCAAGAAGAGAGGCATGCCCCAAAAGCCTTGCAAACAAGCAAAGGACAGTGATGATGCAAGTGATGTTTTGGTTTTTTCCGCAATATTCTACCTATTTCAGTTTTGCGAACAAGAGCTCTTGGGGAAATTCCGTTTTCATTCCGGAAGGAAAAGCCAAGGTCATCAATGAGAGCATAGGGCTGTCGATGTCTGTTCTTCCCGTGCTCGAGCCACAAACCGGCGTGAACGAAAATGCAGCGGCTGCCTTGGCATGGGAAAACTTATTTGATTTTGAATGTCAATGGGAAGTTCGCAAGCATTACGACAACGCACAAAAAGACACAATTTTTTTGATGTTGCTAGCGCGCAACGTGTCTGGATCACGGCTTGCATCATTGTGTCTTCCTGCCATGTGGGCTTTGCACATGTGATGCAATTAAATATTTTCGTTCACCTACGCTTGTTGGAACATGGAATGACAAACCAGCCTATGTAAAATTTGAAGTTGTTCGCAACAGGTTTCCCATTGAAATACCAGAATTAAGCAAACTGTTGTGTTCAACAATGAGGTATTTTACGCTCGTGTGAAACCTGTCATAATGCAGCTGCAGACTCCTGTTTTTGCGACACGAATTGATCGGACATGGTCCTTTGCCGTGCACTGCGTCAGCTCGTCAAACACGTGTCTAGCTGAGCTTGCATCATCACGCAACAGGTGCATATTAGTGGTGCGTGCGGTTTAGCAAACGCACTGTTGGTTTCATCCCACCTTACCGAAATTCCACGCTACAGAAAAAAACCCTGCAGGCTACTCAAACGAAGTAAACATTGTAAAACATGCGCTCCCAATAAACGGATGTCAGGTTCAACAGTGGAGTTTTTTTACGCTTGCATCAAACCTGTCCTACTGCAGCAGCGGACTACACTCTTTTTGGATCAGGCGCTGCTCGGACAATGTCTTTTGCCGTGGACTGCGTCACCCTTTCCTTGGGTTCTGAACAGCTCTGCTGGCGCAGAAAACGCATTAACCCACTCCACGTCACAGCAGCAAAGGTGCCTGGCAGAGCGCGTGAGGGCCTGTCTGTGCTAAAGGCCTGCGACGCACAGAACTCAGTTCCTCAAGCTTTTACTGATTGCTGCGCATGCTTCAGCTTGTCGGGCCATGCGGCATGTTGCGGATGCAACATGACGATGCCTTTTCTTCACGCTATGCTTGCAAGAAGCGCCCTGTCTCATTCGCCTACGCTGCCAGCATTCCAGCTTGTTGCGGCTGAACTCATCAGCCCACGCATTCTGCGCTCCCGCAACGTGGGCCAGAGCAAGGTGTAGATTACTGCGCGCTGACCACAACGCCACCAATTTCAAAAAATCGCTTAAAGGCTTTGTAGCGGTATGAAGGAAAGATATCCCTGCTTCTACGGACGTGCTATCGGACGCAGATGGAAACTAAAGTGCTTGGCACGCGTACGTGCGACATCTGTAACAGCAGGAACCCATTTCGCCGCTGTTTTTTGCAGGCTACCAACACTGTCTAATCTTGGTCATGTTCCACAGCTCTGAGAACTATGCAGAACTCTGCGACGCGCTTATCCAACCTCCTATTCTTATGATATCCCCTTCTGCCGTAGCGCTGAACAGTGCAACTGGGGGGCACGCAGTGTCGTGCGCAGCTGGTTGAATGTGAAGCATATTGAAGCATGTTGACAACCAGCGGAGAGCTGTTTATGTCGCAGCGGTATCGCGCGCCACGTTGGTCTGACAGCTGCACCCTGTGCCGCTGCGCAAGCCGCGGTACCTGCACATGTGCTTGTGGCCCACATGAACAATCCAGACGCTCGCTCGCAGTGAGGGCGTGCTGTAACCACGACATGGGCATGCAAAAACTAACCACGTCAAGCAGGTTCCGAACCACGATCTGCAACTGCTAATGCACGTTTTTGCCACGCTTTGCAGCCGAATTGTCCAAAATTTGGTTTCCCAGCCAGTTATGGGCCTTGTGTAATTTGCAAACATGCGTGGGCTGCGGGAGACCCGGGAGACCAAATTTTGGACCTTTCGCCTCCAACGCAGCGCAAAAACTGGTCTCCCGTTTGATGGTGCTTTTTCCGAGCCCGCGGGTCCCTCCTCAGACTCTCAAGACGTGTGTTCCCCCTACGCGGCTGCTGCACGAGCACGTCTGTTCCTCCGCATCGTGGGCCCGGAAAGGCGCTTGCAAGACCCTGAGACCTGCCTCGGCGAGAGCATCTGGTTCTCGGGCACACAGTACCAAGCACGCCTCCATATCATTTGGGAACCGTGACTCGGCCAGCACGCCGACAGAGCAGGTTGGAGTCTTCGAACGGCGCCGCATCAGCGTCTCCGTTGCGGTCTGAAACGCACGCATGGCCTGATCCTTTACCTTGAGGTGATCCTGCCCCAAATCCATGAGCATATCTTTGACGAGCCGCTCAAAGCCCACTTTGGAGATGCGCATCCTGGTTCCATGCTCCGTGGCCTTGCGATCCCGCATCTCCTTTTGCAGCTTTGTCCGCACGGACTTGTCACCACGGCGCCACGGCACCCTGGCTTCGACAAGCTCGCCATTGTCTCTGTCAAAGCTTCCGTTGGGCTCAGGGCACGCTCAGCCAAACATGTCCTTGCAGGAAGCACGGTCCTGTACTTTGGCAAGTTGAGATCACGCCGAGGCGGCAGTGACTCGTCAGCCTCTTCAGCCTGCCAGGCAAGCAGGCAATTCGTTCAGGACACGCAGGGATGGGCGAGCGCAACACCACAGCCTCCTCTTCTTGAATCTTTTCCGCCTGGCAAGCTAGAAGAGTCAGAACCTGGCTAAAGGCAGAGCCCAGCCGTCCTTGACTTTCGCACGCTTCCTTGTTCCAACAGCAGACCGGGCCTGCAAGCCGCGCGAAAGTGGAGCCATTAGGATAACATCGCAGCCAAGCAAGGAACAGCCGTCCTTGCGCTTCCCGACATGCTTGGCAGGCTTCTCTAGGACCAAATCCTGCCATGGATTTACAATGTGCCCAAACAATAGCCGGCAGGATCTTCTTCTGGGAAGAGACCAGTCTGACTCTTGACGGGGGCAGCTGTCTGGCACAACAAACCACTGAAGACAATCGACAACAGCTTGTCACTTGTCATCATCTGATTCGGCCATTGTGTCCTGCCAAAACTAAAATTCGACACGCAACTGCGCACTTTCCGATCAACACCCTGGAGTTCTCGCTGGCCTGAGGCACAGACTCTATTTCAAGAGGGGCCCCGCAGCGTTCACACTCGTCGCCCCAGCGCTTGTCAGTGAACTCTTAGCCACATTGATAACAAATGCCCATGACCTCCAAAATTGGCAGGGCGCAACTGACAGCGCAAGTCAACTAGACTGACTCTGAGCGTTCGAAATCATGGCCAATTGAGCCATGCTCCTTTCTCTCAAACTCAACTACAAAACTAAAGCGCTAACAAGGGAACTTTTTCTTCTGTGCTGGGACCTGCTAGACTGGGGTCGGTCCTGCTTGAGCCTATGCATTCAATCATGGTTTCATGACTGCAAATGCTCAAGTCAAACTGTAGCTACTTGGGCACTCCATGATTACTACACAAACGAACACCCCGCCTCAGAAA